ATATATATATATATATGTATATTTTTTCATATAACTTAATTTCTATCAAATTTATACCTTCCTTATTCAGTTCAATTATGAATCAACATTTTTATTATTCTAATTAACTCCAATCCCATAAGTGAAGTTCTCTCCTTAACAAAAAATAAAATAAAATAATAATAATAATAGTCTACAAAGAAAAGAATGGGCAAAAGCATAACTTTTAACCCCTCACCTTGTCAAGTTTGAAGGTTTTAGCCTCTCACCTTATACTATGACATTTTTAGCCTTCACCTTACTAGATTTGTAGGTGTTAGCCCATCACTTATTAAAATTGAAAAAAATAGCTCTCACTTTGTAATATTTGTTAGTTCTATTAGCTGATTATTAATTCTATTAACTGACTATTAGTTGATTATTAACTGTTAAAGACCTTCTTTCAACTAATAGAGTTAACAGGACTAACTTTATAATATTTCGTTAATTTTGTTAATTGGCTATTAGTTGATTGTTAGTTGATAAAAATCTACTTTCAACTAACAGAATTAATAGTCAGTATAAAGTGAGGGCTATTTTCTTTGATTTTAATAGGTGAGTGGTTAAAATCTACAAATCTAGTAAGGTGAGAGCCTAAAAGTATCATTGTATAAGGTAAGGGGCTAAAACCTTCAAACTTGATAAGGTGTGGGGTTAAAAATAAGTTTTTGCAAAAAAGAATGCAAAAATTTTAAACAGATAAAATTATAAAATTCTTTTAAAAGAACAACATCATATGTTTTTAAAAAAATTTATAAAAAAGCATAGTAATCCGTGTTTCATACAACAATATACATATTTTAGACAAAGAGAAAAAATGGCATAAGAAAACAAAAGCATAATATTATATTTAATTATAATATGAAACATGGAAAAAAAAAAAAGTCTGGAACTCACCACATTAGTAAAAAGAAATTGTAGAGATGAAGAGGAGAATATAATATATTGATATAGAAGAAGTGACTAATGATTAGAAGTGGGGAGGAAGATTGAAGGATAAGAAGATGGAAGGGCATAGAGAAAAATCATGAAAAAAAGATGTCATCAAAAATCATATGAGGGTATATATTTATACATTTAAACATTAACTCTTCATTTCTTCATTTAAGAGTTTTTAAATATTTAAACATGTGGTTTTTTATATTAAGATAACGTTACATCATCTATCACATTTATTTATCGACTATTTTTATCATTTACAATTTTCAATTATTTGCCTATTTATCATTTTTATTATCCTTTATAATTTTCATTTATTTTTGTCATTTATTTATAATTTATAATTTTCATATATTTTGCATATTTTGTTTCAACATTTTAAATTGATATAATATTATATTTTAAATAAATACATACCCTATTTAATGAAATTGGGTATAGATTTTGTATATGATTATTTTTTATATCCTATAATATTCATCAAAATTGTCTTCGGTTGATAAATTATTTGATTATATATGGTCTTGCCTATTCATCTACCAAAGGATTAGTTTTCTCAATTACTTATATTATACATAAATGTAATTATTATATATATAAATGCATACCTTAT